GGCCATTGAAGTATTTTGCAGTAATTATCAATTTGGAATTGAGAATCAAACATATATCCAGAGATTGAAAACATGTATTGATTGAAGAAAATAGTTTTGGCATGCTTCAAGCAGGGATCTTACATGGCATATGACAAGTTTCTTGGGTTGAAACTGAAAAATTGAAGAAACCTATAAGAACATAGTTGAAGGATCTTATCATGATTAGTATTTACACTTGAACCTATAAATAATTCAAACCTTTTTTATAGTCAAACACTTCCCTAAGTTAGATTTTTTAAAGTCCCCATCTGATTTCCCTTAGAAACAATGCATTAAAAACCTCTCTAACTCAACAAGTTTTCTTATCAAACCTCTCTGACTCAAATTTTCTGAGGCTTTTTGGCTATGGTTTTCTTGACACAATAAAAATAAAATCCATAAAAATGGGATTTGATGTGCTTTGAATGGAAGTAAACAATTAATTGGGCAAATGCACCCTTGATTCATCCAAGCGCAGCATCCTGTCAACTGATTTCAATGGCAATTTAATGCCCAAAGTATTACCAGTTACAATTTCTAGCAATTCCTCCCACAACAAAAATTTGAGCTTCCTAACTCAAAATCTCAGTAACTCCAAACCTCCCCAACTTTAAGCATCCCAAAGTCAAATTTTTTTCTTGTCCCTTGAAATTTGATTTAGAGATGGTTTGACTGTATATTCATGATATTTGGAGTTTCAGAGCTAAATGAGGAACATGAGTTCACAGAAAAAAAGTATACAGAAAGGGCAAGTATTAGCTGGCATTTTAATCTTGTGGTGAATGCCAGCTTGAATGTTTGAGGCAGGCTTTCATGCTTGAAGCAAAAATTCTCTCTAAATTGTTCATTGAACTAAAACTCATACAGAAATCAGGCTTCATCAGCTTGTGGTAATTTTGACATAAGTGCATACATTCTTATGCTGCTTTTTTGACATCAATATGATGCAATCATCCTCAAAATTGTCCATTTTTTTAAGGAAACTTCATTTATGGTGTGCTCTCAATGTGATAGTGCTTTGTTTAAGGGGAAAACAAATCCGATTTATAAAGTAAAGTATTTCAAAAAAGTAATATGCATTTGATCTTAAGAAAAAATTGTTTTTTGGAATTATTTGGTGTGCTTCATACTTTTCCAAATTTTGAAAAACCTTAAAGTTGAGAAAAATAACTTTAGTTTTTACTTATTACAACAGACATAATTTGTAAAGAATATTTTTATAGGTCAATTTTTTTTATGCATATCGCAAATTCCTTTAGACTTTAACAACAAACTGTGATTATAAAAAACATGCTTTTATGGCAAATTTTGTTTGTTAGGTTGCTGAATTTCATTTAGAACATTTTTTCTACAGAANAAAAGAGGAGTTGAATTTACTTTGCCCGGTAACAAGGATCAAGAAATCTCCTCTCAAGGAATTGTCTAATTTAGTTAAGAACATAACTTACGACGGTAAGTTGTACAATTGGAAAATCTAGAGACGTCCGGATTTGGAAGATTGTAAAAGATCAGAATTAACTAATTTACGACAACACACTGTACAGTAAAAACACCCTATGCTAAAAACTTTCTGTAGATCAAATGTTTTTAGCGAAATTAAGCACCCTAAAAAACAAAATTTGCCATAAAAGTATGTTTTTAAAAATCACATTTTGCTGTTGAAGTCGAAAAGATTTTCTGATTTGCATAAAAAACAAATTGACCTGTGAAAACATTCTTTAAAAATTATGTCTGTTGTAATAAGTACAAATTAATTTTTTTAGTTTTCTATTTTATGGTTTTTAAAAATTTGGAAAAGTATGAAGCACACCGAATAATTCATAAAAACAATTATTCTTAGGATCAAATGCATATTATTTTTTAATATTTTATAAATCGGATTTGTGTTGCCCTTAAACAAAGCACTATCACATTGAAAGCACACCATAAACGAAGTTTACTTTTTAAAAATGGGCAATTCTGAGAATGATAGCATTATTTTGATGTTGAAAAAGACACCCAAAAAATGTATGCACTTCTGTCAAAATTACCACAAGCTGATGAAGCCTGATTTCCAATTTTTTTTCATTTCCTTCCTCACAAAAGAAAACAGGGTTGTTGCATGATTTCAGAAAAGGTTTCAGAATGCAATAATTTCAAGTATAAATTCTCCACCAACTTGTCCATGAAGTTCAGGCTCTGGCGCAGGGGCAGGCTTGTGATTGTCTGAAGCCATGCAAGTGTCAACCAAGTTTTTCCTTTCACATCTCACACTTCCCAACACCAGAAAAACCCCCCACAATAACCAGCACATCATGGTAAAAATAACCTCCAATTCTCAATAAATCAGGTGATAAAATGCTGTATTACTCATGCGAAGTCCTTTTGTTCACCTGTGCTCGGGAATAAGAAAGCAAATGCTGCCTCCAACCAGCAGCGAGACTCTAAAACTCTTGGCTTCTGCTGCTGGCCTAAAGATAATATTGACAGAGAATAACACCAGCAGGTTATGTTGAATCAATACATTTCCACATGGGGGTTAGCAGAAAATTTTTGTTTTCCGACAAGCTTTTCTTTATTTCAAACAAACCCCATCAGGAAGTGCAATATATTTTTTTTTCTAAAGGTAGTTCGAATTTCGGCGTTCTTTGACCTATAATCTCGGATGAGTGAGTATTAAAGTGACAGTGAGGATAAAAAAAAAACCTGCGTCAAGTACGACACATTCCCAGGAAGTGACGGCAATAAACGACGCTTCCGGTGTCGTCACTTGCCACGCTTCACTGACTCATTATCTCCGCATTCGCGACTGCAATCAAGTCTTATTACTTCTTCTTGTTCTTCTTCTTCTTGATTGCGAGGAATCCATTTCGCAAGCGGAATTTTGTCAAGTGTCTGCTGTCGACGAATGCTTGCTGCGAGCTTATATAAGCACCCTGAGGCAGTTCCTGCTTCATCACTTTTCTCACAACTGCTACCGAAGGAAGGAACTGCCTCAGGCTAAAAGTGGAATGTGACAGTTCATCCTTATTTCTTCTTGACTCTATTTATATATACCGTATATTTTTTTAAATTTCAAAAGTAAAGGAAAGTACGCTGTGATTATGTGAATGAGTGCGGATGAGAGGAGTGAAATATGTTTGACTTAGTCTGAAGTGGGAGATGCTGATTTTTTTTTGCAGAAACAAAAACATTGAAGTGGAAAGAAAACCATGTGGAATCAATGGATTTTGAATGGGTTCTGTTATTGCTTGTGGATGGTAAGCGTTTGACATGGTTATTTACTCGTTTTTCAAACAAAGCAAAACACTGCTATAAAAAGCACGCACATCAAAAATTAATTTTAAATAATACGCGTCAAAGTGTTTTATAAAATTGAGATGATTATCACACCTAAAAAACAGTAGATAGGAAACATTGAATACATAAATTGTTCATTCGGAAAGTATGCTTGCTTGTTACAGATCTCTTTTACTGCCCAAAATATGTGTTCCTCATAAACATGTTTTGCATATTCTTAATGAAAATGTTGGACCAAACACATGGTGAATTGCTATTTTGAAAATTCATACATAATTCCTCTTTCATAGGGAATAACATTATTATTTTCTATCTGGGTTTCTTACAGAAATCAAAGATATTTGCACAGCATTATGCAGATTGCTCAAATTTTCAAGAAAATTACAGTTGACCCCCGCACAATGGACTTAATTCAAGCAACAGACTAGTTTGTTATGTGAAAAGTCCTTTAGAAAAATTCTATCACAAAAAATGCTGTACCTTAAATTTTTATAATTAATTTTGAACCAACAGAAGTCTGTTAGGTGGATTTTGTCCATTAGCCAGGAGGTAAAACTGTTTATCCAGAAGTGGTATGTTAGGCAAAAAGACTTTAGGCAGGAGGTCTGTTATNCCAACAGCAAACAGTACCAAGGCTCAGCTTTGACAGTGCCGCCGATTTACTTTCCTAGGCACTACTTGCACAGCATCGAGCAGAAGGCCGAAGTCAAGGCTTCGTCTGATCAGCCGAGTGCAGCAGTTCTCATTGACAACAGTGAATCCGTGACCAGCAGAGGCCATTCCTACCGTGTCACTCAGAAATCACACTCCCACGAGTATGTTACCAGGTAAGCTCAACATTTTCCCGACTTTTTTTCTCAGAGCGAGTCGGAGAAATATAAAACAAGACCACATCTCATTAAAAAAAAACATGTAACATTTTACAGTGTAGTAAAATATTCCTAAAACAAACTTTTGTGACTTTGGGAAAAGTTTGTTACACTGAATAATCTGTTACAATGAGATGACTTTAAAAATATCACATCAGACCTGCCTATGATCAATTAGGTCTTGCTTTTCTGCCCTTCTCAGTTTTATATTTTTTTTTGTGTCTGGGGAAAATTGAGGGATTTTTTGGGGGGAAAATTAGCTCTAATCAAGCATTCCATCAGTTGCATCCATCTCTTCCTTCTGTGTGGATGATTTGTGGAACCACAAGGAAACATGTTATTTGTCATCAATTACAACTTTCATCTATGTTACAAGAACAAGTCAGTCACATTTGGGATTGGAAATTTCAGACAGTGCCTGTGTCAGTCAGGATATTTCTACCTGAACAATGTATTAAACATTCTTTCACAAAAGTGGCATAATGAAATTGGTAAGTTTTTATAATGACATGGTTCTAACATGTACTCTACAAGGTTTATGCATGAAATTTGGAAAAAATTTATGCTGATTTTTTTTAGCAAAGGTATTTGTTGTGAAAAAAATTTACTGTATTATACAGGTGGTACCACACAATTCACTGCCCTGGAGTTTGTTAATCAAATTTTCTGGGAGGTTATTGATTCCCAATTTGACCTCTGCCCAGCAATTTTACGTGGGGAGAGATGCAAAATGTTAAAATTGAGGTAGAAAACATTGAATTTGATGCTGTCTTGCAATTTGACCCCTTCAAAATTTGGACCCTAGGGCAGCAATGGATTAGGGTTGAATTGCAGATTACCACCGGCATATTAGTTGAGGAAATTGTGCACAAATCCAAATTAAAACCTAAACATATATTCTAAAATTATGTACTAATAAAGGAGGCATAAAAATATCAAGGCAATTTCTCACAGTGATGTTTGAGTGAACACTACATTTTGATTGAAATACTAGTTTGGAGAGGATGCAAAACCTTCACTGGGATTTTCTCAGTAAACAAAGCATATACCAAACGACTTATTTGAGAGTCTTTAAATAAGAACGTTGCTTGTATGGAGAGTACACTTGCATTGTTTTAGGCAGCCAGAAGCAAACAGTTTTTTTGAAACTGTTGGAGGTGATCACTACATAGTGCAGCCCCCAGGGACTCCAGTAGACATCAGGCCTCAACTGTCCAGATTCACAGAAAAGGACGCCATCAAAGTAAATACCAACTATGAGCCTGAAAACCCCTATCACCCCCACCACCAGGTAAAAGGCTTATTGCTTCCTATATTTACCAATTGCAACTAACACACACATTTCATCCCCCCCCCCCCCCAAAAAAAACTAGGACAATAGTCATGAGTACCATGATGCACCAGAGGTGGTTCTCAGTACCCACAGCAAACACTCTGATGAAAAGGAACCCCAACATGTTTATGAGTCTGACACAAACATTCATGATCATGAGCCTGCTGTGTTGCAGCCAACTGCCAAAAAGCCAAAGAAAACTTCAAAAGAATCCGTCAAGTATGTTTACCACTATGCCACAATTGAAGTGCCAGTGTTTCCAGCCTTGGGTTTCAAGCGATTCAAAGTCGGCCAGCCAATTGTGCTCAACTCAAAGGTAATCTGGAATTTTGTCAAGATAAAACTCAAATCTTGTACTGTTTTCTGTGTATTACTTATGCAGCTATTGAACCAAGTCCATCTCAGCCATCAGTTTCAGCACTACAAACCCTACAAAAGCAGCAGCAGTAAAAGCAAATGGCGGCCGATTTATCCCAAGAGAAATCACTACGAACGTCCTTCCACCATTTTGAACCTGTACTTGGATGAACCTCACAATTACTACTTCAAAAGAGGAACTGCTGGGGAAACATCTGCTGTTGAAAGCCTAGGAAAACAAGAACCAGAATCTACAGAGGAAACACAACAACAACAAGAAAAACAGCAACAAGAAGCCAAAGAACCTGTCTCATAGCTTTTTCCCACCAAAATGCTCAACAAATTCGTTGCTCATGTACAAAAATAAATGAATAACTCCCTGGAACCAAGATATTAAAAACGAAATGAGCTTTTCTTATTTTGAAATCCTGTTTAATTTCTTTTGTTCCCTCTGGCAGTGCTTCAAAGAGAAAACTCTTGAATGAGTAAACAATCACCAGAAAAGTAAGCTTTCATGGAAAGCTATTGAGTCACACCTACGAATAAATAACACAGCGGCCTTTGCAACAGATGAACGAGAAAATCAGGAAGATAAAACAAACGGAATGCTGCAAATACTAAACAAGGTATAAAAGGTGTTCTCAAAAATAAATAGGCATCCAGATAAATTATCTTCACTGTTTGCCATGACAAAATACCCCTTTTCTTTCCAAAAATTCACCTACAACTTGAATTTAAATTGACAAATAATAAAATTTCGCATGAAAAATAATCTCTTTTCCTGAATCAAAGTTCGAAAAATTAAAAGATTACATACACCATTTTTGGAGACTCTCTTTAGATTTCCAGCACAAAAGAAGCCCGCCCACGGCCACAAAGTGGTTTCATCATGTTCAAACAGAAAAGTGATTTCACACGTTATCTGTTCAAAAAAACCCAGAATGAGGCGGAAAAAATGCTCCATGAAAAGAAGGTTTCAAACACTTCAGTTCAATGTTGAGTCGTGAACCGAGTGGCAGGAAAACAAGAAAGAACAGTTTTTGGCACATCATGGACTGGTTCAGATGTCTCATGACACTTTTGCTGATTGTAGTGAAGCCTGGTGCAGGCTTTCTACCTTTTCCTTTTGTAAAGCACTGGGCTGAAGAGATAATTGGAACAACAGGACAGCAGTTAAGTGATGAACAGACAGAGTGTCTCAGGGACAACTTGGACACAGAGTCTGGGTTCAGTCACTTTGAAATCTCTCACAAAGGTTTCTATGACAACTTCAAGCTCTACTTTGACCAAATGGTTGGATCAAGCCTTCCAGAGTCAGGTAAAACAAACTTACAGTCAACCCCTGCACAATGGACTTAATTTGTGCAGCAGACTATAGTTTGTTGTGTGAAAAAGTCTGTTATGCAAAGTCAATTATTAAACAATTAAATTTTTTACTTTCTATACCATTAATTCTAAACCAACTGATGGCTGTTATGCAGATTTATTCCATTGACCTGGAGGAAATACCGCCTTTATAGGCAGCCTGTTGTGCAAAAAGCCATTCTTGTGTGGGGGAGGTCCATTGTGCAGGGGTCAACTGTATGAGTGATTTATTGCTTGAAGATTTAGCTTCTTCAAATCTTTCAAGTTGATAAGAATAAGTTGAGATTCTTAGGAAAGTAGCTGACAATTTTGTTTCTACTCTTTACAATTTGGATGCTTGCACGTTTGAAAAAGAAGTTATCCTGGTAAAGCAGTACAGTACTACATGTTCTATAATAAATATCTGGTCTCCAGCACTATAAAGGCATGTCTCTATAAAAGCCAGATTTGGGAAAATTGAATCAAATGATAGCCATTTTGAAATAGTAGGTGGGTCAAAGAATGAAGAAATTGAAAAAATTTGGAGAATTCCTTTTGATCTAAAAAATTACATATAACCTAAACATCATTATATAAAATAAAAATCAGAAATGCAATGAGATCTTAAGAAAGAAGCGTTTTCCCATCGCCAATTTTTAAAATATTCCTGTTCCAATTTCAAATAAAATATTATTATCAAGTGGTTTTTCATATTTTTCACCTGGGGTTAATTGTTCCTTGCGTCTTTTCATCTTGCCCCTCATAGTCTTGACTGTTTTTAAATGAGTGCTGGTTTCTAATAGAAGCCAGTCTCAACTGAACGCCAAAAGAAAAGCCCATGATTTTGAATAAATACCACGGATATTTATTAGAGAATACTGTAAATGTCCAATAGTTTTTCAAGGCAAAAGACTCTCATGTGCACTTCTTCAGCTCTTTTGAACCTTTAAAATTGTGCTCTGGCATTTAAGAACTACCAAAATGTCTTGAAAATGTGTCTACCAACTCTACCTTAACAACTCCTGTGTTTCCTTCCTTTTCCATTTATCTACAATTCGAGTACTATTTATTCGTGCACTGTAATTTTGAAAAAGTGAGTGTCAGCATCCAATCATTTTTTTTAGTGAGAATAAGTGCAATTGGCCCTTTATAGTGCGCATGCCATTTCCAAGGATTTTAATCCTTGAAGAGAGTCTCTCTTTCAGCATTTCGTTTTAAATGTTTGAATTACTCGATTCCACGCACTTTGACCCCACCCACAAACGCGATATACTGACTCAAAATATATGAATTTGAGAGCCTTCAGAGTATTTTTTTCTTTCGTCAGAGCTGGCAACACTGTTCAACACAGCGTTCAAACGAAACGACACTTTGGGAATCGCCGGATTTTCCAGTGCACTGCAAGAACTGGCAATAGAAAACTCAATTCTTGATGGTAACGTTGGCAAACTGGATCCCAGGAACCACTTCCTGGCAGAGAAAATACAAGACACCAAGAGCCGGTTGAAGTTCAATCATAAAATCATAGCCTTGAACTCTTTGGCGTCTTCCTCGGGTATTTCTACACAAAAAAAAATATAGCATAGCATCAACTATTATCTTTAAAAAAATGTTTTGATATCCACAGGCACGAATCAGCAATTTTCGTCAGACTACGGAACCCTGAGAAAATTAGTTGGCGAGAACCTGCACATGATTCAAGACTTTTACGCTCACACTTCTTGGTTGGAGTTAAACACGAAACCCAACCAGGAGTTGTTGGATTTCTCCAAAGATTTCTCGGGTTTAGCAGGACCCAAAGAAGAAACCTGTTCCGCATGCAGTTCTGCAGAGTGTGAAAACAACGTCAAGGCAAAAAAGCTTACCAGTGCATTCAGGTCAAATTCTTTCATCGACGGCATGGAAGTGATCAAGCCTTTGGGTAGATGTCTCTCTTTTCCTTCAAACACTGAGAACTAGCCCGCTTTTAATAATATTTTTTTTTACATCAGGCAAATGTGCTTTTGGAGGACTTTTTGATCAACCCTCTGACACTCAAAACCTGCTCCACGGAGGGATAAACAAAGACACCAGTCAGCTGTGCTTTTCTCCTCACCACAGTCTCGCAGAACAAGCCAGGGATTCAGCAACCAGAGTAAATATTTGTGGAGTTTATACAGGGTCGATCAATTCAAATATAATCAACATTAGTAGAGATTTAAATGTTCAACTAGCTGCGTTTACTTAGAGCTTCTTGCATTTCATTGAAATCAGGGGAGAGCAAAGTGTCATCATGTAATTTAGAATTGACCAAAATATGTATATAGTTGGGATGACAATTTTTTATAATTATCTGATCCTATTTTTCACTCTGAAATCTTTAAAAAATTGAGATTTGATTGATTGCAAAGTCAGAAAAAGGTGCAAACATATTATGCTGGTAATTATTAGGCAAGTGTAACTGAATTGATTTTTTTTGTCCATAGCGTTGGAATTCAGGCTTGATTCATGCCCGAATTCAGATTTATTTTCATTTTATTCTTGAAACGTATTACAAAATGTCTCGCCCTTAAAAAGGTAAAAATATAATGTGATTGATTGATTGATTGATCAGCAAGCTTTATTTTCTGTTTTTCTGCATTCATGAGGTTCAACTGTCCAAGCAATGTTCCCACGTCATCCAAACTACCTCCCCTCGTCACCAACATTCATCCAAACACATTCCATTATCACATCAGATCAGATAATACAGAAATAAAATTTACATGTAGACTGAAAGAAAATGAACTACATCCCAAAATGTTCAATTGCACAAGTGATGTAAATTCATACATATTCTTCCCCTCCCAAATAAGAAAAAAATTAAAGAAAATGAATAAAAATTGCAGCATGAGGCAAATGCTGAACCCAAATAAAGCACAAGATGTTCAGCCTGCTCCCAGATAACTTGAATTAACCCAGATTACTGGAATTTGTTTCGTGTCAGGCTACAGCGGACTACATGAGGCAGTTGAGAAGTGTTCTAGGAGAGAGAAGGATGCACTCCATGTTGTCTCTGGACAGCAGAAAGCCCTTCATTCTGGTAGTTGACCTTGAGGGACAAACCAATGAAATGCTGAAACTTTTGCACAAGGGAGCAGAGGAATTGCTAACATCTTCACAAACCCCTGACAACTTCATCCTTATCAGCACCTCATTATCTGGTAAATTCTTTTAAATCTATATATTTGACTTGAAACAAAACTGACCTTGTGGACTTTTCCAACAGGAGTTGAGGTCAGGTCGGAGACAACTAAGCCCAACAGCTTCTTGAATGCCTTGTCAAAACTGACTCCATCAGAGACTTCATCAGAGGCTTCTTCATGGGTCCAGGGTGTTTACCTTGCTGCAGCAAAGGCTAAACCAAGCAGTACTTTGAATGTGATCATTTCAAAGGGCACAAAAGTTTCAGATGGAGTCAAACACTTCATACCAGCTGTGAAAGCAATAATTGGATCCAGAGATATAAAGGTATAATAAATAAATGAAAAAAAGTTTCAAACTCCACAGGTCAACCAGAATTGTTTTGGCTTCTCAAAGCCACCAGAAAATTTGATAATGTGATGGTTAAAATTGATTGGCCTAGATTGATAAATTAGAAAACTCTGATTCATCAAATCTTTGCATTTTTACAGCATGAATTCGAAATTGTAAATAAAGAAATGATTTTTGGGTTATTGGGAAACAGCCTTTTCCAGATACCACTGCTTTAATTTTGAAAACCTGGAAAATAACTTGAAAGAAATTTTTTCAAAAGTCCCAGGATATCCGCAATAAAGTATTGCTCGAAATTTTGTTTTTAAAATAATGCAAAGATACGCGTAACCGGGACAAGCCTCACACAAACAACTAATTTTCTTGAAGAGGCACATATAAAGACTTCCTTTTGTTTTTCCTCTACGTCAGCAATTTAATCATAAAAAGAAAAATACAGTATTCTTTTGTGAGCACTGGTGAATTTAATAAATTTGAGCTTTTTTGCGTAGAAATAATTAATAGTGCGAGCTATTTGAATATTTTAAATCGGACCACTCTGGGTTCAAAAATGGTGTGGAAACTTGTGT